AAGATCGTAGAAGTGGTGAAATCCAACATATATTCGCATCGGGTATTATTGTCGTCATGGACGCCACTGAACATTTCCGCAAGGTTGCAAAGACTCATTTCAGCTAAAATAATGTTTTTCGGAATAATAAAACCAAAACATGGTATGATGGCATGTTTTACTTGTAACTTACAAGAAGAGGTTACAAAGTATGCGTTGGAAACATAAAACCTGTAAATTTTGCTTTCTATGAGTCACAATCAGCGATTTGCTGATCGCCGAGTGAGTGAGTGAGTGAGTGAGTGAGTTTGTGAAAAATCGCTGATTGTGACTCTCATGAAGTGAAATAAACAGGTTTAATATGTCAAACACATTCTTTGCAACCTCTTCTTGTATCATACCAATTCAAAATTTGATCATGGCATCTAATTATTTCAAAATTTAGAAAAACATTGTTTTAGCTGAAATGAGTCTTTGCAACCTTGCATTTCCGTGGTGAATTTCATAAAAATTCTAAGAATCAATTTAATGTAATTTTAAGTCATGTAGAATCAAAATCTAACGAACATTCCACGATAATAAATTAAATATGCATAACGAATCAAACAAGAAATGTAGGGTTAATGTCGATATTATTTCAGGATAATATGTTTACAGTGCTCTACAAAGATTTGTGGAGAAAATTTCAAAGGTTCACCAGAGAAAACCGCTCTGAAATGATGGGAAAATTCAAGGATGATATTTAATGGATATTTGCGATGGTTTTTGGATAAGAACTCCAAGGATATTCAGATGAAAATTTTGAAGAAAATATAGAGGGCTGATAAAATTGGGTCATTGCTGTATTATAATAAATTTGGGCTGTAATTGATCATTTTTAAAAAGGTATTTAAAAATGTGTATTATTAATTCATGTGTATTTTTTCGAATGAATTAAATTTGTGTGGACAGTTTCAATGACACTGTTATGTGATTTTTCAATCACTGTTTATATTTCTTCGACAACGTAACGAAATAAAAATAAAAAAAGTTAGTTGTATCGAGAAATGACTGTTTCTTGAAAATTTTCTAAATTCCAACTACTACTACATAATGTGTTGGTAATTCTACCATCAAAATTTGATTATCTTGGGATTTTCTCAGAATTCACTTGAAAATCTCTTGAGAATTCACTCCAAGTAAATTATTTTTAGAATTACCTTAGAATTCACCTTAGAACTATTTTGAAACTATGCTTAGGACTCAATCTCCTCGGAATTTTCTTGAATCATTAGAACTCATTAGAAACCCTTCTCAGAACTTATTTGGAATTTGCATTAGAACAGGACCAGAAATCCTTTTCAAAATCGTGATGGAATTTTCCTAAGAACAACCAACAACTGCAACACCGAACTATCCTTAAGATTTTCCGTCGAGCTCTTCTTAAAACAACATTGGAACTCTTCCTACATGGAGAATAAATACTACCCAAAATTTTAGTTCTTTATTTTGAGTTGAACCTCTCACTTGCACTCGTTATTGTTGCCAAAAAAGAAACGAGAGATTTGTCCCAACGATATAGTCCAGCCTAATAAGTTACTTTTGAGTAAATTGCATATTCTCATATTTTTAATTTTGGATAGAATATACTAAAGAGTAAGTAATTTATTTCCTGGAGTTAAATGGAAACTGCTATATGCAAATTACTGGGCCCTCCCTTAGCTCAGTCGGTAAAGGCGCAGCTACAAAGCAAGACCATGCTGGAGGTGGCTGGGTTCGATTCCCGGCCCAGTCTAGGAATTTTTCGGGTTGGAAAATTTCTCGACTTCCCTGGGCATAGAAGTATGATTGAACTTGCCATACAATTATACCAATGCAAAAATGGTACAGGCATCGAAAGCTCTCAATTAATAACTGTGGAAGTGCATCTAGAACACTAAGTTGAGAGCACGCAATAAGCTAATATGCGATTTAAGCAATAAACTTGAAATGCGAAGAAGAAGAAGAAGAAGAAGAAGAAGAAGAAATGCGAGTTACTCAAATTTGTATTATTGGGCTGAACCCGGGAATTGAGAGGAAAGCACTTAATTATGGGTTGTTTTTCATATCCGTGTACATTTGACTTGAAGTTCTACACTCATAGTGTTTTTATGTTACTTCATACGTCAAGATTACTATTTTCAGAGTTGGTTGGAAATGCTATCTAACATGAAGCTTTAGTGTGATAATTTTGATGATTTATCATTTTCAACTTTTATTCAATTTTCTATTACATGTGATTTTCTTTTATATTCTTTTCCAATTAGCCTTTTTTTAAAAATGAAATTCGCTGCAAAAAAACTCTTGGAATCATCTATACAGTTATAAAGATAATTGACACCGTCTTCAGCCAGAGGTTGAACAGACTGAGCACTTAACACTAGACAACGGCCAACACACATAATTTTACAAAAAATGTCTGTAAAACTCCTTAGTTTTTCCTAAGAATTGTTCCAAATTCCTTTGAAATGATCATCAGAATTCGCCCATGATCTTCGAAATTATGGAAATTATAAGTTTGAATTTCTATGCCTTTATTCTGACAACACTTTTAAAATTGTTTTCAAAATACAAAGAACTGAATTCTCTAGGAATGCTTCCAATTATTTTCTTAAATTTTTAAAGTAGTTGTAAGTTACAATTACTCTTGGTTACCATAAATACTTTGAAAAAAAAAACTGTGTCAATATCTATCGATAAATATAAATGTTCACCCCAGGGAGATGTGTTATTGTGCACCTTTTAGTATATTTTTCAACCGCACTTTACGAAATTAATAGAACAAAATAGAGTCACAATCCGTCCAGATTTGAATTGAATATTAAGGATTCTGTCTAAATTAGGTGGCTGCTTCAGAAAAATCTCCGACGCCTTGTTATTATAATTGCACAGTAAATAGAGCAGTTCCACGCCAATTGCCAAATCGATGTTACTTTTCCCTCTTGGAACTCCATGAAACTTAACGCTACATTGACAGTTCACTAGAAGCAATAGAGTAATTCTCGTTGAAACCAGGCCGCCATTGACATATGGTCAGCGTTCGCTTGGCTGTCGACAGAAACAGGCCACTCTCGATGTGTGTCACGCGATCGTCTGTTTTTTTCGGCACAACCATTGGGTGGTCCTGTGCAGTTCTTTGGGTCTATGCGTCGTCGACTTTGAAAAGCAACCGTTTCGTGATGACTGTGTGAGTGTTGACCACGTTTTGCGTCCATTGCTGCAATGGAAGCGCTCTGCCTCCCGTTGGCGATACTGCCATACAATGAATCCACTGACAGCGGATCCCGTTCTGATGGAGGAAGCTTATTGCATAGCGGAAGATAAAGTGTTTATTGTCTTGTACGTTTTGACCATATTTTTACGAGTTTTATATAGTGAACAAGATTTATCGGCTCTGTAAAGTTTTTCGATTGAGCCTTATCAAATGAATTATTGAACGAAACAAATAGTTCATATGGTCTTTCAATATTTAAATATATCCGCTTAGTTGGTCGAAACTGATGAAAAAATGAGATTGCCACTTTCCTTAGCTCCAAAGATTTAACATGATAAATATGTCAAGAATTGCTAGAAATTCAACTTTTTTTAATATTGTAAGGCCCCTTGATGAGCGACGGGTCCATTAATAAGGAAAGTGACAGTCTAATTTTTTCATCAGTTTCGAGCGGGTATATTTAAATATTGAAAGGTCATGTGTCAATGGCGGCCTGGTTTCAACGAGAATTACTACATAAATCAAGAAGAAGGCTCATCTAATCGAAATGACGTCTGAGACAAAGTTGTGGGAAACTGTATTGCCTTTTCAGAAAAAATAAACGCACTAAAAAAAATTACAAATTTTCGACAAAAACAAAAAAAAAACTATTAACTACTTCAGTAACAAAAAAGAACATTTATATGATTTTTAAACTTATGTTTTATTTAATGCTTATCAAAAATGCTTACTCCTTTCTACAATTAGTTTCTATTGTATTTTATGCGGAAAACGTATTTTTCAGTCTAGAAAACTGTTTCTTATGCACAAATCACATAAATATTTCGTAAAAATAATTTTCATACGTCTCACTAAAAGTTCATGTTTTACAATTTTGGTCAATTTTGAATTTTCATCCGATGTACTTCAAAATTTGCCAAATATATCTTCAAATATAGTGAAAAATCAAAAAGGTATGAAAATTCAAAGGTCAATTTCAGGGTTTTTGTCTGGACCGGCCCCATTGTGCAGCGTCCCGCGGTGGAATGAATGGTGGTAATTTACGGAACAAAGAAAACAATGAGCCAAAGGTGAAACCACCTTAACCTGCTGTACTGCTGCTACTAAACAATGGGAAGGTTGCAAAAACTGCCCACCTAATGTATTTATTTTTTTCTGGTCTTGTCTGGTCTGGTCTGGTCTGGTCTGGTCTGGTGTGATCGGTACACTAAACGTTCGCTTACTGAAAAGGACTATTTGAAAAATTTAAAACTTCTAACATACCGTTACCAAATGCTGACCAAACTGGCAAAAATTTGTCAGAAGGTCACTTTCTTCAGATAGTTGCTATTTTTACAAAAATCAAAAAGTCCCTTTCAGTTGGCGAACGTTTAGTGTACATCCATTTCGAGGCTCCCGACTATGAGTAGCACTTTTAATCAAAAGTTTTCGTTTATCATCGAAGTTTGCTCCTAGGGCTTTTAGGGGAGAGAAGATGGAAATATGAGGATGGTTTGCGCTTTGGTTTCTCAGTGGTGTTTCGTCGATTTTGGTGTGGTTCGGTTTTCCCCCAGAAAGGCGCCAACGCGTGTGACGCGGTCATAAAAATTGCTTTTCATTTTTTACGTCAGCAACGGAGAAGAGATTTTTCATGCGGTCTTTCGTTTTTGTTTTTTGTTCGGTCTCCTAAAATAGTTGCGAATTGGCTGTCATGGGATCGTTTTTCTTCCCGTGACTTGAGGTGAAAATTGGATTACGTGAGCGGGAAATTCAATTATCAGCAGAACAAGTTAACAATTTCGTTACTTACCGCTAGATACAAAAGTAAAATTCCGAATAAAATTGTCTCTAAAATGGTCCACATCCCCGTTGCAATGGTCTGAAATGAAAGTAAAAGCAAAGAGATACAGTTGAAAGTTTCTGCTCGATTTGAGATCCAGCAGGAACTCACCTTGCATTTTCGTTGACGGAACACGATTAACGCTAACACTAAACAACAAAGCATACATGCTCCCAAAATAGCACCAATGGTGGCCTTCATCAGCGTTTCCATGTTAAAGTCCTCATCCGGACTGGTACAGCTGCCGGCCCAATTACACTCGCACGCGCTCGGGCACGGGATGCAACTGCAAATGGAATGATTTCATATCAAAATCAAGTCCTTGAAGGGAATCATCTGCTGACCACTTACCTGAAATTTGTTAAATTCGCTTCGTTCCTATCCAAGGTGAAACCCTGGATGGATTCGTTCGGGATGTAGTAGCCAACGCGGCACACGCAGGTGTACTGCCCTCGGCTTGCGGTTTCCGCTGATTCCATCGTGTCCGACATCAGACAGAAGGTGGACTCTCGATCGCAAATGTGCCGCCGGCCAAAGATTCCTTCCAGTGCGTCGTTGCATTGGTCCACGTCGGCCGCTATGAATGCCGAGGCAACGATCCTATGGAAAATAAGGGAAAAGAACGGATATGTGAACGCTTGGATGGCCATCAATCTTGACTGGGTTTTGGTTGAGCATGGAGAAGAGTAGGAGTTCATAGTTCATATGAATTTGAATACCTAACTATAATTGTTTAAACGACAAATGACGTAGTGTGCTGGAACAGCATGGCCTTGATTGATTGATCATCTGAAGTTGCTTAAACGCGATTTGGGGGGGTGTTCAGATGCTCGAAATTTTCATACCCAAATTTCCCAGTGTAAAATATTTCATGAATCATAATTTGTCAGCCGGTGGGTTTCCCAAACCTTTAAATCGATTTATCTCCTTAAATGAGGCTCTAATTGCGATTTGGGGGGCCTTTAGATGCTCGAAATTTTCATACTCAAATTTCTGCGTTTAAAATATTTCATAAATCATTATTTGTCAGCCGGTGGGTTTCCCCAGCCTTTTAATCGATTTATCTTCTTAAATAAGGCTCTAATCGCGATTTGGGGGTGTTCAGATGCTCGAAATTTTCATATCAAAATGTATCAGTATAAAATATTTCATTAATAATTATTTGTCGGCCGGTTGGTTTCCCAAGCCTTTAAATCGATTTATCTCCTTAAATAAGACTCTAATCGTGATTTGCGGGCTGTTCAGATGCTCGAAATTTTCATACCCAAATTTTTGAGTTTAAAATATTTCATCATCATTATTTGTCGGCCGGTGGGTTTCCCAAACCTTTAAATCGATTTATCTTCTTAAATAAGGCTCTAATCGTGATTTGAGGGGTGTTCAGATGCTCGAAATTTTCATACCCAAATTTTCCTGTATGGAATATTTCATAAATCATTATTTGTCAGCCAGTGAGATTGCCACAACATTAAATCGATTTATCTCCTTAATATGGCTCTTACGGCGGTGTTCAGATGCTCGAAATTTTCATACCCAAATTTCTCTGTATAAATTATTTCGTAAATCATTACTTGTCGGCCGGTGGGTTTCCCAAACCTATAAATCGTAAATTTGGCTCTTATCGTGATTTGGGGGCTGTTCAGATGCTCAAAAATTTCGTTCTCAAATTTCCCAGCATAAAATATTTCATAAATCATTATTTGTCGACCGGTGGGCTTACCAAACCTTTAAATAAATTTATCTCCTTAAATATGGCTCTAATCGCGATTTGGGAGGTCTTCAGATGCTCTAAATTTTCTTACCCGAATTTCCCAAAATAAAATATTTCATAAATCATTATTTGTCGGCCGGTGGGTTTCCCAAACCTATACATCGATTTATCTCCTTAAATAAGGTTCTAATCACGATTTGGAGGGTGTTAAGATGCTCGAAATTTTTATACCCAATTTTTCCCAGTTAAAATATTGCATAAATCATTATTTTGAAAATCATCCACAAAATTCAAACTAAAAGGGCCAGCTCGTGTTACAACAGAATGAGCTGAAATTTTCAGAGAGTGGTTTTCTCACCTTATGGCACAAATCTAGGGGTTGGCCCGTGGAAAATTAGAACTTTTATTTTTGAGCGCCAGTTTTATTATCCGCCATTTTGTTTTACCATTTTGAACCATCTTCGCATTTTATCAACTACTCAACATCTTGAATCCACAATTTTGAAAATCTACTACCGTTGTGAATTATATTTTTTTCAATAATTTGCTATATTAGAAATGATTGTGATTCCAATTACAAAAATATTGCATTCAGAAAGAACCGTCATTTTATAAAAGTTCCACCATCTTGAATCTGCCATTTTGAAAATCATCCACCATCTTTAATCTTCCATTTTGAAGATCAGCCACCATTTTTAATAGAAATTGCCATTGCAATAGTAGATTATCATCACTATACAACAACATTTACAAATATTTCTACACGTATCCAATATCCATTTTGATATCATCCACCATTTTTTTTTGTGTATTGATTTATTTGATAAGGCTCATTCGCATTAAGTTTATTGAGCCGAGGATTCTTGTTCACTATGCAAAACATGTTAAAAATATAGTCAAAAGGTACATTACAATAAACAATTTATTTTCCGCTATCCAATAAGCCTCCTCCATCAGAACGGGATCCACTTCCAGTGGTTCAATTGTATGGCAGAATCGCAAACAAGGGGAAGAACGCTTCCATGACAGCAATGGACACCAGGGTTACGTCCACTTACTTCACTATACAAAATGTTTTTTGAATTTATGGAATAATTTGATGTTATAATGATGTTTTGTACTTGTCAGATACAAGAAGAGGTTAGAAAGTATGTATTTGTCTCATAAAACCTGTCAATTTCGCTTTCAGTACGTCACAATCAGCGAATTTATGACTCGTGAGCATTCACTCAGAGTGAGCGCTCACGAATCGTTAAATCACTGATTGTGACGCACTGAGAGACATAATGACAGGTTTTATGTATTGAACACCTTGTTTGCAAACTTTTCTTGTAGCTTACTAGTACTAATTACCAGTTTCGGTTCTAATGATTTCATAATTCCGAAAAACATTTTTTTTATAGTAAGCGAGTGGAAGCAATCCTGATGGACGCAAAACGTGGTCATGACTCACACACTCATCACGAAACGGTTGCTTTTCAAAGTTGAAGACGCATCGACCGAAAGAACTGTTGATGAAGAATATGAGGAAGACCACACAAAGGTTGCTGCCGAGTGAACAGACAATCGCGTGACACATCTAGAGTGACCTGCTTCTGTCGACAGCAGGGACATTTTGAAAATAAATCACTATTTTATCAACGACCCACCATCTTGAATCCATCGTTTTGAAAACCTTCTGAAATCTTGAATCATCATTTTTTTTTATATAATCAACTACCTTGGATTTGAAATTGTCATTGCTATTACAATAATAGTGCATTCAGAAAGATCGACCATTTAATAAAAGACCCGCCATCTTGAATCCACCATTTTGTAAATCAACCGCCATTTCTGCACTGAAATTGTTATTTCAATAGTGAAAGTATCATTATGTTACAAAAACATTGCATTTCAGAAGGTTAGTAAAAATTTAAAAATTCCCCAGTTTGGCTAATTTGCAATGGTGCAATTTTAATTTAGGTTTGGCGTCCAAACTGGAAGAGTTTTACTTTCCCCTTAAGGTGATACGATACAGCGTTCACAAATCACCGTCAGGATGGCTGACTTGCATTACCAATTTTCTTGGGAGTAAATCTCGGACACTATTTCGATGTCTAGCTTGAAATTTGGTTCTCCACATGGAGAAGAAGTTTTGTCATTGTATGATTTTTTGTATTCTCCAGAAAATGCAAAGTGGCACCAGAGCAAAGGCTTCCAGACCATAACACCTCAGCATTTCACCTAATGTCGGTTGGAGAAGTAGCGTTCAAATAGTTTTTTTTTTCGAGATTCTGCAACATAGAAAGCGATTCGAATGGATCAGACTTTGACAGCGGCACTGGTGGTGTAGTGGTAAGCTTATTTTATTTTTCATTTGGAGTTTAACTAAATCTTATTTAGTGATAGACGTGAAACACGTCTTTCAAAATGTTGTCGTTCGCACCCTGAAAAAAAAATCATAGATTTTATCCAGTGCGAACACGAAAAAGTTTTTGTTGAATAACTTTTTTCCTTTTAAAGTGCCCATCTTGGGATGTATCAAAGAGTTGTAGATAAATGGTATGTGTATCTTTAGAAAAAGTTTCAGATTAAAAACAAAATTGTGTTTTTGAGAAATCTACTTTTTAAGTTTTAAAAAGGATTTTTTTCAGTGTAGAAGGCTTTATTTTTTTATATTTTCTTACAAAAGCTCATTTATTTCTCTACAAATCATCCTTTGGCAACATTTCTGTAGGACTTGACATTATTGAGTAATAATTTTTTGAAGAAAATGATGACAAAAAAGTTCTGCTCTTTCCAAATGTTGGTCTAGATTTTTTTTAAAGAAAATGAGTATGAAAAGTTGCTTAAGTAGACGAAATCTATACACTTACAAAGTTTCATTGACATCTGAGAGGGTGCTGCCAACCAATTGTCGAGTTAGCGTGAAATTCGTCAAGCGTGATTGCCTCTCACTCCAAAAGGACTGGGTTCAATCCCAGTCGGTGCCGTCGGAATTTTCTGTGGCATAAAGTAGGGAAGTAAAGCCGTTGGTCCCAAAATCCATGAATTTGATGCGTCGATCGGGAGGGTTCAAGTGTGGGATCTGCCTTCCTGGTGTTGGTAGCATTGGTACTCAGTACGGAAAACAAATCCAGGAAAAAAATCAGACTGAGTTATTTTCGAGATCTTGGAAGTGACTATAAGAATTCTACAGGAGTCTCGAGCTGTTACACTGCGTTCAATATTTGTTGACTTCTTAGAATAACAAAACCTCTCATAGTTTGTACATTGGTTGATTATCCTGGAGCTCTAGGAGTTTTTGAAATTTTAAGAGTTCCAATGCTTCCAAAAGCTTCTGAAGCTCCTGGAACTCTTGAAGCTTTTATTTAAGCATCCATGAAACTTAAAGATTCGACAGTAACATGAAGTATTTTTGCTATTTCAAGAATTGCTAGAATTCCGAAGGTCTCAGTATACCAGACATCTCTGTTTTTGGTACTTCGAAAATTTTAAAAGTTGTCAACACTATCGAGAGTTTCCACAGTTCCTGAAATCTAAGAGTGTCGGCAGTTCTTAGAGTTAAGTTAGGCTAAGTTTTTTTTATTAGAGAGGCTTTCAGCCTGAGGCTGGTTCGCCTCCGAGTTCTTAGAGTTTCGGGTGATAACAAAATACTAAGAGGAGAGAAATGGTATCTAATCACTTATTCTTTCTCTTAGGAGTATTCCACAAACAAACAAATTCATAACTTTGAAGCAAATTAATACTTCTATCCGTTTCTCAAGTAGCACACTTTCATCTCCCAAAGTAGCATCAACTTGTGTATGATTGAAATAAATCCTACAGAAGTTTCCACAACCGATTTGTGGAAACCGTACTACTACATTTTAAAATTTCTCTCGCAAATCCATGTAGTGGTTAGTTAGCA